ATATATATATATATATATATCTATATACACACACACACACACAGTGGTGTTTCATGTAAATCACAGGAAAATGTGGATTTGGGGTTACCTTTTTTTCCTGAAAATTGGGGATTTTTTTAAATCAGAGAAAACCAGGATCCCTGCATCACACAATAAAGTGAAATCAGCCACAGGTGCAAAGTAATTATCACATGATAGAAATGACTATCCAGCTATTAAAAAAAAGCCAATCAGCTATAAAGTTAGTGCTTGAAAATGTATAACAACTCTATAGCTGATTTCTATCCAACTTTCATTTGAGCGTGCAGCAAGGCCCTGGGACCTGCAGCCAGTGGATTTTGGATGCCAACCCCAAGGCTATGAATTGCTGGTGTTACTTCCCTGGAGTAGTCTGACAATAGCAGGACATGTGCTACTTAATAGGAGCTGGAGATAAGCCACCTGCGAAAAGTCCTAAACTTTCAAGTACAAGTGTACTTCACATATGTTTTACTGCTTGAATGGGTGTTATTCCTGTTTTAAGTACAGTTAATATGTCCTAAGTGTTATGTGTGACAAGACCCTCAGAAAGGTTGTGGGGTCAAGAGGGGTGCCAGGGCAGGTAGCCGAGGGGGAATATGCAAGAGCGCCTCAGAGCTGAGACTCATGACCACATATAGGGGAAGGGCAGGAGCCAGGCGGGGAGGATGGGTGGGTTGTAGGAGTTTGTAAGGACCTGCAGATACAGTGCCTGTTTTGATGCCCCATGTGACTGTGCCAGCTCAGGTGGAAGCACATGGCACCTCAGCCCTAAGATCCCTTCAGAATAGCCCCTCGCAGCTCAGCTTCAAATAGACAAGCCAGCTGTCTGCATGCTACTTGTTTGTCGCTGATGCCAGCCCAGCAACAACCCTGGAAGGACAGACAGCCCATCTTCTCACCCCTGTTGGATCACAAGGGCCTCCTAGTCCTCGTTGGCAGCGGTCCCTCAAAGTCGAGGATGATGTCTGTCAGTCAGGCTTGATGGGTCTTCAAGTGACTGAGGAGCTTGATTCTGGATGCGCACATTCTTTGGCAATGGGGGTATGTTTTTGCATGGGGGAGTGAGATTCACAGCCCTTGGTTAGTCTCCTTCTTCCTCCGCCGCCGCTGTTCTGCCTCAGTATCACCCCTGTTGGATCACAAGGCCCTTCTAGCCCTAGTGGTATATTAATAACCCTTCAAGCTCCTATTTGATGCAAATACTAAAGGCTTTCATAGACAAGAGTGACTGGCTGGTGGGGAAAAGCCTATCTACCAAGGCCCAGGATAAGAAAACGAGAGGGCGCCCAAACTAAATGATTGGGGGCAGGTTCAAAACCAGCAAGAGGATGTATTTATTTTATGCAGCATCATGTTGACTTGTTGAGCTCGTTGCCACAGGAGGTTGCAAGGGAGATTAGTACAGCCAGGTTAAAAAAGGGATGGACCAATTCCTGGAGGACAGGTCCATTGGTAGCTGTTACATAGAACAGTACCTCTAGGTACTGCCATAATAATAATATACATCTGGCTACTTGGGAAGCAGACTGCCCAGTAAAACAAGGGAACAGTTCACTGTGGGGAAAAGCACATAGGATCATTGCCAAGTCTAGCAAATGAGCATTACTTTTGCATTTTCCTGCGTATCACCTGCAGTAGTCCCACCTGTTCTGATAACAAATGTACTTGGTGATAGGAGGTCAGAGACACTACTTAGACTTCATCAGAGTTATACAGAAGCCAAAGCATGGAGATCAGTTGCACTGGCTGGGGGGAAGGGTGGAATAAAATCGCCTTCTGGCATAACAAATTTTTCAGTTTGATTTATGAACATTTTACATGGCCATTAATGGAGTGCAGTGTGAATTAAAATTCAGATGTAAGTTGCTGTGATAAATCATCATGTGGCTGCTTGGTCCTAATAATCCCAGAGCTAGTAAACTGTATACAAATACTTTCTGTAAATGTTAGCAGTTAGACACCCAGAGCTACGTTTTATAGTATCAAGCTATTTGGCTATGCTATTCACTATTAGCTTCTCCAAAAGCTTTTAAATTGCAATGAGGGTATGCAAAATAGCCACGTGATTGCTATAAACAGTACCTTTTTGAAACATATTTGATTAATGGATATTGTTGTCTATCTTTCATTAGCAAATTACATTTGAAATTACATTCAGTACCCATTTAAAACTAAGTAATAGATCTGTTTTTTCTCCTTAGGTGCAGGAGATGGCAGTAGTGTGCATTTTACAATTAATCAGTTCTGTATAATCTGAGAGAAGCTGAAAAAAATAAATGCAGTATGCTCTTCAACTTCGATATCTCTTGCTTTTTTGATAAGTTATAGCTCCAGTCAAAATGCTAAATTAATTCTTTTAAACTGAAATCCCCCCCAAGAACAAAATGCCAGACATGGTTGTGAAAATCCTGTAATGTTCACATGATTCACAAATCTACAGTTCCCCATCAGGCCTTTGAAAAGTTAGTATCAATACCAATGTATTGACATTTTATGGTTTACCAATTTACTGTTCATTACAACTACTCACTGTATATATGGAAAAGTTTGTCCTTATGTTCCTATGTTCTGAAACTCCATTACACACAGGAAGTGTGTTACCATCTCAGACCATAGTTTGCATTTGTTCTATCTCCCTTTATTTAATTTTTCCCTTAAATATACATAGCTATTTTTTGCCAAGTGCCAAGAACTCATTCCATACAACCTAACTGATATGGATTCGAAATATTTATTACTGCAGTAACAGAGACATATACCTATCTCCTCACAGTCCATTTATGTAACTAAAATAATCGACTTTCCATTAATAAGTTATTTACATCATAATCCAGTTTGAGAGAACATAGGTCCCATTAGGCATACTTTATTTTTGTAGGAAACTTCTAGCGGTCTACAGAACATTCTCCCAGATTGTTTTAGAATTCAGATAAAGTAAGCAAATTCCTAATTAATGGTCCTGCTTTTATTTCTTCTGTCATTAAAAGCAAACTTGCCTTTTCTGCTTCCACTCACCATCAGAGTTACAAAGTTGCAATAGTAAATAATTGTGAAAGAGATCTTGCTATGTTGTAATGCACTCCAGGTCCACAGTACCTATATGCTATTACTTCTTGCAGCTAAGTGGTAAAATAACAGTATCAGTGACAAAAACAATAATGTCAGAGGCAAGGATTTTTACTGGACCACCTGCATGGCTGGAATAAAGTTAGATCAGCTTTTGCATTCAAGACATTCTTCATAGTTTCATAATAGTTAGGAGTCAGAAGGGACCTGAATAGATCATCCAGTCTAACCCCCCCGCTACTGGCCAGAGCACACGCTGGGATCACATGACCCCAGGCAGGTGTGGAATTGGCCGAGGTCCTTGCAGGACCCGTGGCACGGCTTTACAAGCACTCATAGTGCTCTGATGTGGTGCCAGAGGACTGGA